CTGGGGACATTGGGGACATTGGGGACATTGAGTGGGGACAGCACCAGGGCCATCTGCCAGTGCGCCGAGCCCGTGTTCTCCACCTGGGGACATTGGGGACATTGACTGGGGACATTGAGGACATTGACTGGGGACACTGGGGACATTGAGGGGCACAGAGGGCTCCTGGGGACACAGGTGACAAAGGGGACACAGGGGACACGGTGACACTGGGGACATGGTGATCCTGGGGACACAGCTGACCCTGGGGACACAGCTGACACTGGGGGCATGGTGACACTGGGGACGTGGTGGTCCTGGGGACACAGCTGACCCTGGGGACACAGCTGACACTGGGTACACGGTGACGAGGACGCGGTGACACAGGGGACACGGTGACACCAAGGCCATGGCACACAGTGACACAGCTCACCTTGTCCTGCAGGTGCAGGTTGTTGTGCAGGAACTCCCGAACCTCCTCGTCCGTGTCCTTCTGCAGGGGGGGACACAGGGGACACCTCAGGGAGTGTCCCCAAGCTTTTGGTGAGTGTCCCCAAACCCTGGGCTTGTCCCTGAGGTGTCCCCGACACCCACCAGGGCACAGTGGCCACCCTTGGCCAGCGCCAAGTCCCCAACCCCAGGGCTTTGTCCCTAAACCCAGGGGACATCTGTGGCTCCCAGGTGTCCCAGGTGTCCCCAGGTGTCCCCAGGTATCCCAGGTGTCCCTGGCCACCCACCAGGGCTCAGCGGCCCTTGACCAGCGCCAAGTCCCCAACCCCAGGGGTTTGTCCCCAAACCCAGGGGACATCTGTGGCTCCCAGGTGTCCCATGTGTCCCCAGGTGTCCCCAGCCACCCACCTGGGCGCAGTGGCCACCCTTGGCCAGCGCCAAGTCCCCAACCCCAGGGCTTTGTCCCTAAACCCAGGGGACATCTGTGGCTCCCAGGTGTCCCCAGGTGTCCCCAGGTGTCCCCAGCCACCCACCAGGGCACAGTGGCCACCCTTGGCCAGCGCCAAGTCCCCAACCCCAGGGCTTTGTCCCCAAACCCAGGGGACATCTGTGGCTCCCAGGTGTCCC